AGACAGAGTCTCACTTTGTCACCCTCGGTAGAGTGCTATCACGTCACAGTTCACAGCAACCTCAAACTCTTGGGCTTAAGCCATTCTCTTGCCTCAGCCTTCTAAGTAGCTGGGACTATAGATGCCTGTCACTTCACCTGGCTATTTTTAGAGATGAGGTCTCACTCTGGCTCAGGCTGGTCTCCAACCTGTGAGCTTAGGCAATCAACCTGCCTTGGCCTCCCAGAGTCCTGGGATTACACTCTGAGAGGCCGAGGCATGTGGACTGCTTGAGCTCAGGAGTTCAAGACCAGCCTGAAGAAAAGTGAGATGCTATCTCTATTAAAAATAGAAAAACTAGCAGAGCTTTGTGACTAGTACCTATAGTCTCAGCTACTTGGGAGGATGAGACAAAAGGATCACTTGAGCCCAAGAGTTTGAAGTTGCTGGGAGCTATAAAGCCACAGCATTCTACCCAGGCTGACGGAGACCATCTCAAAAAAAAAAAAAAAAAATTAAGAATCCTGCAACTTCCTCAATAAATACAATAACGTATATAACATATGAGGTTGAAAATACACACCAAGGCACACCGTTTGGTTTCTGTTATTGGGTTATTTGGAATATTATATCCATGATCTAATTTAGACACAGATTCCTCTCACAATCCTTCTGAGGTCATTTTTCTTTTTTTTAAATTTAAGATGAATATGAGGATACAGATGTTTAGGTTCCAGTATTGTTTTCATCTCTACGGTAAGGTTCAAATTGTAGCTGAGGTCATTTTTTTTTCATCTGAAACAACCTCTGCATCTATAACAGCTTAACTGGAGTAACCGAGTTCCTGTCAGCGAACACACATACTATCTACCATTCATTAGTGATACAAATATTCACTGAGCACTTACTAAGCGGCAGGCATCACTCTAAGGACCAGGGTTACACTAGTGACAAGAGACCTGGCCTTGCACCTTGTGCTGATCGCCTGCAGGGCATTGACTACCCTCATCTTCTCAGCACAAGTTTTAAAAGTTAATCATTCCTTCCAAAAACATTTTCCTCGCTTGGCTCTTGGGCACTGGCTTTCCTGAATCCCCTCCTGCTCATCTGCTGCTGCTTCGTCTTTGCCGCCCCCCTTTTCACAACTCAGATTATAAATGCTGAATCTGCCAAGTCTCAGGGCTAGAGCTTCTTCTTCGGTAGCTTTTCTCACTTATCCAAAGATGTCATTTAAGCCCGTGCCTTTAAATACTACGTGAGGTTTATGCATCTCATTCCTTAAAATTCTGTGTTCCGGCCCTTAAACGACAATGACAACTACAACCAAAAAATAGCTGGGCGTTGTGGCGGGGGCCTATAGTCCCAGCTACTTGGGAGGCTGAGGCAAGAGAATTGCTCTTAAGCCCAAGAGTCGGAGTTTGCTGTGAGCTGTGAAGCCACCGCACTCTACCCAGGCTGACAGCTTGAGACTCTGTCTCAAAAAAAAAAGTTGAATGAGCATCTCAAGTTCACACATTCAAACATGTCCATGTTTACCCATCCAAAAAGTTCTCTAGGGACCTTATCTAACAAATGCGATCAGTGTAACCCAATTCTTTGTACCCTCAATGAATCCCAAACAATAAAAATAAATAAATAAATGGAAAGGTATATCATGTTTATGTTTTGAAAAAAAAAATTTTTTTAAACTATTTTTTATTTTTTGTTGTTGCAGTTTGGCCAGGGCTGGGTTTGAACTCACCACCCTTGGTATATGGGGCTGACACTCTACTCACTGAGACACAGGCACCACCCTGTTTTGAAAAATTTAATAAAAAATGTCAATTGTCTCTAATTTGTGTGCAGATTAAAAAATGCAACCCCAGTAAAAAAATAAAAGAACAAAAAGTTCTCTAGATTTTTCTAACACACGCTTTACTCCAACTCCTTCTCAGTATCAGCAACTATCCCCACCATCCACCCAGCCAGTGCACAAAGCCGCTCCATGGCTCTTTCTCTGAACCCCACACCCAACCATGCACACCACCACTGGGGGGATTAGCCACAATCCTCTCTCGCCAGGTGGCCTAAGATGTCCCTCCCTTGCTCAAATTCCAGTGGCCTTATGCCTCATTTAAAACAAACAAAAAAACCCTCTCTCGGAAGACCTGCAGAACCTCGCCGCTCTTGTCTCCCCCTCAGGCCCGTCCCAACTGCCCTAATGGACCCGCTGGTGTCCCCGGAGCTGGGCTGCGACTTGCTAAGCTGTCCCCAAGAGCGCGGCACAGTCCTTTCAGTAACCAGGCAGAACCGGCCCCCTGGCCCGCCTCGCGCCCTCCCCGGCCCCAGACTTGCGATCCTTGCTCTGTGGCCCCCCCCCGGCCTCACTCCCCAGCGGCCCTCTGTCCCTCCCCGGGCCCGGCGGGGTCCACAGCCTGGGGCCTCCGGGTCAAGCTCGCTCTGCGCCCACCACCCGCCCGGACGGCGGGCCCGCGGTACCCTGACGAGACGCAGGTGGTCGTCTGCCCACTGTGAAATCTGCGCCACCACATTGGGCGCCGCTCGGTCGGGGTCCGGGGACTGCGAGCGCGAGGCCGCCGGCCGCCCCGCCATGTTCGCGGCCTCCTGGGAGGCCGCGCCGCGCTCCTCCGGCGGGCGGCAGGGGGCGCTGCGCCCCGCGGGCGGGCGGCAGGGGGAGCCGTGTTCTTCCCGCGGGCGGCAGAGGACGCGACCTAACATCGCGCGGGTGGCGGCCCCCCCCCGCGCATATACCAGACGTCATAACAGTGCCTCCTCCACATTTATGCTGAGATTTTTGCAGCGATGGGGGCTGAAGGACTCCGGGCAGTGCAAGCGAGGTTATTATCAGTTTGGGACTCACGTCAACCCAGGCGCAGTATGGTTTCCGCAAGTACCGCACAAAATTGGAAATTGCAGCGCCTCATTCCCTCCACTTGCTGCCAAATGTAACCATATGCGTATTCCTTCTATTTGAACTGTGCTTGAAAGTTTTCAGAGTTGCTCTGTAAGCCTAGTATCAGATGCTCTGAATCTTTAAACTGTTAATTGATTATAGGAAGATGCCTTATATAAGAGATTAAGAATTCATATATTTTAAATGAAACAAACAAAAAGCAGGGGGCAGGACAGTTCAAATGATATGGTAACTTTTGTGTAATAAAAATATATGTTGTGTGGATTCGTGTGGTTCTGAGCCGCGAAAGGCTAACAGGAGACCTGTACCCGTGACTGCCTGGGGGAGAGGGTCGCGGAGAGGAAGGAGCGGGTTTCACTAGGTGCCTGCTCTTCTGTTGCAGTGGTGGGAATGTTCTGTAGCTGCACTGGCCAATTCTGCAGCCGACAGACTCCTGTGGCTGTTGCATATTGAAATGTGCCTCGTTAGTGCAACCTAGGAGCTAAATTTTTAACTTTATTAATTTTAATTTATTGAAATAGTCACATATGGCTAGGGGCTACCATGTATTGAACAGTGCAGGTATACTACTGATTTCCTTTTTTGCATCACACATGTATTAATAGTACCTTTAAAAGTCATAATAGAATATGTTGTATTCCTCACAACACAGGAGTGGCGCTTTCAGAGGATGTATTTTTTCAGCAGCGTAGCCAACCGAAAGTAAATATTATACCAATAGCTAACACCATGTGCTAGAAATTGTTCTAAGTGCTTTTTATGTGTTAACTCCCTGGATCCTTACAACAACCTTAAAAGATACTGTTAATCACTGTTTCACAGAGGAAGTTGACACAGTGTGATTAAGCCAGTAAACAAGATCACCCAGCCAAAAAATGATAAACTGAATGTCGAGATTGAACTCAGCTGGTTGGCTCAGTCTGTGCCCTTAACCTCAACACTATGTCTTATACAAGCAGTCAAGCGAATCACAAAAATCCCTGCATTTCCCGGGAAAATAGAACACGAATGCTATTGGGGAAATCACTGTAAGGATACACTAACATACAAAGATACCCTGTAACCAAAATCCTTAATCACTATTTAAAATGAAAACAAAATATCTGGGTATTAATAGATTTTGAATATATTTAGTTAATACATGAAAGAAGTATGTATTTCCTTTTTTATTTTTTTCAAGACAGAGTTTCACTTTATTTCCCTGGGTAGAGCACTATGGCGTCACAGCAAACTCCATCTCCTGGGTTTAGGCAATTCTCTTGCCTCAGCCTCCCAAATAGCTTGAACTACAGGCACCCACCACAACACCCGGTTACTTTTTGTTGTTGTTGCAGTTTGGCCGGGGACGGGTTTGAACCCACCACCCTTGGTATATGGGGCTGGCGCCCTACTCACTGGGCCACGCGTACTGCCCAAAAGTATGCATTTCTTGATGGGCAGTCATTTGCCTAACGCTATTCCTTTTGCTTTTCCAATGTCCTAGTTGTCTTACCTCCTTTTTGCTACCTAGTTGAAGACAGATTAGTTCATTCTCCCTACCTTTTATCCCAAAGTCTATATATATAGACTGTGATTGTGGATGTGGTAGTTTCTGGTGAAGGCAATTTCCAGGATGTGACCATGGGAATGGATAGTTGAAGTCGGGTAGAATAAAAAGGTCATTGGGCATGAGCAGTTGAGCAATTGAGACATCAGAATAATGAGAGGAATTAAGATGAAGACAAAGTCTTTTTTTTTTTCTAGAGACAGAGTCTCACTATGTTGCCCTCGGTAGAGTGGCATGGTGTCACAGCTCACAGCAACCTCCAACTCTTGGGCTTAAGTGATTCTCTTGCCTCAGCCTCCCAAGTAGCGGGGACTACAGGCCCCCGCCACAATGCCTGGCTACTTTTTGGTTGTAGTTGTCATTATTGTTTGGCAGGCCCAGGCTGGATTTGAACCCGCCTGCTCTGGTGTATGTGGTTGGCGCCCTAGCTGTTGAGCTATAGGCGCTGAGCTGAAGAGAAAGTCTTTAAGTGGGATGTAAAACCTTCAGTAAATAAGAGGGAGTGACCAGATCACACGATCACAGCCCTTCTGAGAGGTCACCAGCAGCCAAAGGAACAGGTTTCCTTGGTGGAACTAACTCAGAGGGATGAATCCTGGTTAATCTGCAGAAATCCTGGTACAGACACTCTACTTTTCACATTAGTGGCTAGTAGGGTGATGCTAAAATATTACTGAAGGACACTTACATCCATAAAGTTCGTGTGCAATTTGAAATAGTTGACTTTTAAAAATTGTACATGAGCTTTATGGCTACCCTGTGTGTATATGTGTGAGTTTGTGTGTGTGTGTGTGTGTGTGTGTGTACTCCACGTATCAGCCATGTGGGCACCTCTACATCTCTAGATGTGTCCTTCAATAATATTTTAACATCATCTGACTAACCACTAATGTGAAAATAAAGTGCCTGTACCAGGATTTCCGCAGATTAACCAGGATTTGTCCTTCTGAGTTAGTTCCATCAAGAAACTCTGTTCCTTCTGCTGCTGGTAACCTCTGAGAACTCACTGGATATGTAGATTACATGACCTCAGCAGAGCTTTACTGCCCATCCCTTAATTTCTCATAATACCAGGAACACAAAGACTTTGTCTTTTATTGAAGGTTTGGAATTAACTAGATGAAAGATGGAGGTGGCTGCAGTGACCTGGTGCGGCTGTGGAGTGGCTGCTGCTGCCCCAGGTCTGCATACGAGGCTCTGTCTTATGATGAAGAATCCATACACTATTAAGAAACATCTTCAGCTCGGCACCTGTAGCTCAAGCGGCTAAGGCGCCAGCCACGTACACCTGAGCTGGTGGGTTCAAATCCAGCCGGGGCCTGCCAAACAATAATGACAACTACAACCAAAAAATGGCTGGGCATTGTGGCCAGCGCCTGTAGTCCCAGCTACTTGGGAGGCTGGGCAAGAGAATCGCTTGAGTCTAAGAGTCTGAGGTTACTGTGAGATGTGATACAACCGCACTCTACCCAGGGTGACAGCTTGAGGCTCTGTCTCAAAAAGTAAAAAAGAAAGAAACATCCTCTACATCAATTTGTGCAGAGACCTCTTTTCCCACTCCCTGCAGCCTTATGTAACAAAGGCAATTATTTAGGTTTGAAGGAATAAAAAAATGTCTTTTTTGGACCAGATTTTATCACTATCAGAAAGGATCTGAAGAAAATGATGAAGTTGTGGAAATGATTAAGGAACTGTTAGATACTAGAATATGATTTTTTTCAACGTGAAGACCTGGTCTGAAATGTAGGTACTTCCTACAGTTACTGAAACATTTTACAGTTAATCAAGACACAGGGGCCCAAAGGAAGAAACTCAAAGAGCTGCCATTGAAGGAAAAGATGGATCTACATTTTCTGGAAAGCAGCAGCCAAATAAAGATGGTGGAACATTCTGGTACTAGCAAGACCACAGTTAGCAACATCCAGAAATGTAAACGTGAGTACTTGGAGAGAAATGGTAAGAAGCAGAGACCTACAGGGGGAAAATAGGAAAACTTCCCTCAATGAAGTCAGTGAAGCCATGTTGAGCCCTCAAACAAATGAGGGCAGTCAGTGCTTGAATTTTTCAATGTTGCTAAAAAGTGTGCACAAGAATTCAGAGTGGCAGACTTCCAAGTATCTACTGGCTGGTTTGAGAAATTTAAACTGTGACACAAATCTCCCAGAAATTCTTTTTGTTGTTGTTGAGATAGAATCTCAAGCTGTTACCTTGGGTAGGTTGACGTGGCATCATAGCTCACAGCAACCTCCAACTTGGACTCAAGCAATCCTCTTGCCTCTTTTTCTATTTTTCATAGAGATAGGGTCTCGCTTTTGCTCAGGCTGGTTTTGAGTCCGTGAGCTCAAGCAATCCACCCACCTCGGCCTCCCAGAATGCTAGGATTATAGGCATGAGCCACCACACCTGGCCTCCCAGAAAATCTTGTATGGGGAATCTAATGAAAGTTCCAGAAGAAGTTGTGAAAGAGTTCATTAAAAAGTTCCTGGATTTCACAAGGCGCTTCAAAGATGACGACATCTTTAATGCTGTAGAGTGGAGACTTTGTCAAGGCGTTGCCTTGTCATGGAGGGTGACAAATATAAGAGCAGAAAACTTTTCAAAGAATGTTTCACAGTTCTGCTTTGCTCTAGCTCTTTGGAAGAGATACTAAAGCCCTTGGTGATTAGCAAAGCCATACACGTTTAAGAACCTGAAGCCCGAAGACCTCCCCATCACTTGGAGATCGAACAAATGTGCATGGATAACTGGTGCCTTATTTCAGGAGAGGGTAAAGGGAATCCACCAAGAAATGAAGAGGAAGAAATGGTCTGTTCTGCCATCAGTGCACAGTTGTGCTGCCCCCTGCAGGTGAATCATCTCACAGACATGGCAGCAAAGTTTCTGCTTCCCAACACCTCCAAAATCCAACGTCTGGACCAGCATCATCAGAACATTTAAAATGGATGACTGAGCCCAAACAGGTCATTACCAAAACACAAAGCTGTGGTCCCCCTGTGGAAGGAACTTCGTCCACTGCCATCAGTTAATACTCCGGATGCTGTCTTCTGGATCACTTCTGCTCAGGATCAAGTTCAGCCAGAAACAATACAGAAGTGTTCAAGAAAGTTTGATTTGTTATAGCCCAAGAAGACT